TTGAATGCCCGGAGCCAACTGTAAGCCACTTCGTGTTGTTCTAGTTCCCAGAACTTCATTCCTGGGCCACATTTTGAATGCTGAGGCAGGCTGATGCTGCGGCCGAGGCAGGCTGAGGCTGAGGCAGGCTGAGGCTGAGGCCGAGGCTGAAGGCAGACTGAGGCTGAGGCTGAAGCAGACTGAGGCTGAGGCTGAGGCAGGCTGAGGCTGAGGCTGAAGCAGGCTGATGCTGAGGCAGGCTGAGGCTGAGGCTGAGGCTGATGCAGGCTGAGGCTGAGGCAGGCTGAGGCTGAGGCCGAGGCTGAAGGCAGACTGAGGCTGAGGCTGAAGCAGGCTGAGGCTGAGGCTGAGGCAGGCTGAGGCTGAGGCAGGCTGAGGCTGAGGCTGAGGCAGGCTGAGGCTGAGGCTGTGACTGCGACTGCCGTTGCCGCTGCGACTGTCATCGCGAATGCGACTACGACTGCGAGAACAGCAGAATTCTACAACTGGATTTTCATATGAATCTTAAGGGGAATGCTTTCAGATATGCTTCTACATATCGCTGTTAGGTTGCTTTGCCAGGATAATTTTATAAATATGGCCGGTACTGAGGACACCATTGGCAAGTATGTCAAGTGTGTAGAAGACATCTTTGGTAAGTGTAAACTCAACATGCACACGTGCACCAACTGTGCTGTGATATACACCAAGGATGAGGACGGCAATGTTACTTTGGACAAAGACAAACACATCAAGCAGTTCCGTCCTATACAACATTCTGAACTTACTGGCGCCGACGCTGACGCTCAGGCATCCAAGATGGTTGCTGACATGTTCGTTCGCCTCAGGGAAACGCTGGCGCATGCATTAATCACCCAGGTGTGGTTGATGGTGTATGTTGTATCTCTACAGCGTGTCCAAGAACCGACCAATATTCAAGTGCGACGACTGAACGCGATCACCAGGAAGTTGCAGGACAGCCCTGAGAAGATCGTCTATCAGGCGATGACCCCTACGGGCGAGGTTGACCTGCACAGCGACTCAGGACACCGACGCCTGAGTGGAGACGCCGATGGCGACGTCAAAGGCTATGGTATTCGCGGGGCAAACCTGCTACGGCGTGGAACACGCCATCCGGTAAACCTGTCGTCCTTTTGATCGATGCGTATTGCAAATCTCACCGCTTGCAGGTTCGCTCGAGTTATTCAGCAGAGACACTAGCAGCAGCCCATAATTTGGAGGACTGATACCCCACGATTGTGACTCTGCACGAGATCCGCGCGGGGCCGCTCACGCCCGCTCAGTTGAAAGGCATGCTTGAGCTGGGTGGCCTGAGCATCAAGGCCACTTTGGCCATAGATGCTGAGTCTGTTTTTAAGTCCTTGCCAATCAAAGACTTGAAGAAGCCGACTGAGTGCACCCCTTCAGGACACATCAGATGGATACAACAGATGATGGAGCGTGGGGTCGTGCACAGTATTCAGTGGTGCGACGCCCGCGATATGACTGCGGACGGCTTCGCCAAGGGTGGCATCGACAGAGAGATGCTCCTACAGGTCATGGGAGGTATACAGGCCTTCAAACATGACTTCAAGAGTCATGCTCCATATCGGGCCGGCCAGACATCTGGTTCTGTAGCCGTCTGAGGAGTATCTGTAAGTGCAGAATCGTACAGGCAGGGCAACTTGCGTGCGGGTCCACCTTCCTTATGGCCACCTTTATTCTGTCCTTTTGTATTTTGGCTGCTGCACCTGCTGTAAAGGGGCGGCGGACTCACGCATCGCCCCCCCCCCCCCCCGACACTAAAGCGAGCTGAGGGGCGTGAGGGGCGGAAGCGAGCGCGCGCCCTCGGCCGCGTCGGCTCAGGGGGCTGGCCGCCCAGATATGATTGTGCCTCGCCGCGAGGCACGCGATTGATATCGAGACCAAAAGGGCCTTCTACTGCTTAGGATGGCACATCCCCTCCTGCTGGGACTCTCGTTGCTGCGGTACAACCGAGCTGGAGCTTGGCTTATTCTAAGGCGAAGCTGCTGGCGGGGTCTCCCAGCCCCCTTCAAACTAGGGGGCCCGCCTTCCCGTGCCGTAAGAATATAGAAAAGGTATATGTGTGTATGTATATGAATGTGTACATGTATGTGTGTATATATATATATATATATATACCGTACATCTACATGTACAAACGCACATGGACTTACCCTATGTTCAAACGCACATGCACGGGAAGGAGATTGGGGCCCAGAAGCCACCGCCTCGAACCCCCAATCCGGGCCCGCCCCCTCTGGAGCCTCCTAAGCCGTTCCCCCGCCGTTCAAAGCAGCCCTTGCGGCGCTCCAACAGCGCCCAGGACGGCTTTCAGTCGGCCCGAGAGGCCGCCAATGCAATTCAAAAACGCCCCAAAGGCGCCCCGGGACACCTCGAGATGACCTCCCGGCGGCCCCCGATATTTCCAAGACGCCCCGAGAGCTTCGAAAGGCCTCCCAAGAGTGTGAATCATGTAAGACACGATAGGCGTGCAGAGAGTGTAGAGAGCTAGTCTCGTCTTTGCAATGTTTGTCTGTTGCGCATAGCGTTATAGATGCAGCCATTTGGGGGCATGATACAGTCGTAGCTAGGAGACTGTGTGAACACAGTGCGTCGCCGTGACCGGTGAGCGAGAGAGTTGACATTGGTCGCGGAGCCGTGGCTCCGAGAGCTGCGGCTTGGCGCGCAATGGCAGGGCCTCCTGGGGCCCCCGGCGCCGCGCGCGGACATGGCCGTCCCGACGTGGAAAAGGAAGGCCGAGACGTTGGAGGACTACGCCATTCGGGTTGAGTTGCTGACGCTGAGCCCCTCCAAAGTGGCGGGGCCACTGCTAGGGCCCAGGCTAGTGGCCGCGCGGCCGCAGGGGTTTGCCCAGCAGCGCTTCGCCCTTCGACTGCCTCGGGAAGCTGGCCTCGGCATGGGCGGGGCCTCGCTCGAGCCGAAGTCGATTGCCGCAGTGGGCGGCCCCGACAACCTGATAGAGGCTTTCAGGGGGAAGTTGGGGACGCAAGCGGTGTCCGACATCGGCGAGGCGACGCGTGCTTCCACGCGGGCCCGGGCCGGAGTGCACTGGCGCGGCGTCTGGGGCAGGGCATGGCGCGGTGGATTGAGACGGCGGAGGAAACCTACGACCAATTACAGCGGGCATGCAAGCTGCTGGCGCCTGGCGTGGGATATATCTTGCCAGTGCCGCGCGGGGCGCCCTCCTCTGGCGCGACAGCAATCTCGACCCCTCGGAGAGAGCCGTGGTGAGCAGCGCCATCGAGGGAGACTGGGAGCTCGAGAGAGTGCGGAGACGCCTGCGCGACGCGTGGGCTGAGAACGACCTGGCCGTGCGAGACAAGAAGACGAAACAGAATAACCACCGCGCGGCACACCCACTGGCAGACCTACGACGAGCAGGGAACCGACCACGAGCAGCCGCCGGACGAATGCGCGCAGGCTCGCGAGGAGGACGTCGCGGCGCTGGAGCAGCACAAAGCCCTGGCCGCGCAGGAGGCGGACGCAGCGACCCGCACCTGGGAGCAGGCCAGGAAGCTGCTCAGCGACGTCTCTAGGGCCCGCGGCTACTGCCCGGTCGCGGGCCCGGCCGCGCTGCCTCTGGCCCAGATCGAAGGGCACGGGCAAGGGCGCGCGGGGGGGCCCAAGGGCCGAGGCCGCGGCGACAAGGGCGCGCCGTCTCCCCCGAGAGCCCTAGCTGGCCAGGCGCGCAATCGACCAGGACGACCGCAGCAGGGCCGCGGCGCTGGCGTGAGCTGCCTCCTCTGCCGGCAGCAGGGACACAAAGCTGTGGACTGCCCCTCCAGATACCAGACTGGGTCAACGGCAACGGGAACATGAACATCGTCTACGAGGAGGCGGACGACGAGACCGTGGACGAGGCCACCGTCTCCTGCATGTCCTACTGGGAGAGTGACAGGTGGGTCCTGGCCATCTCTCCGAACACCGCGCGTGGTCTCAGCTTCTTCGCCGAGGCCGACCTCCGAGGCTTCGCAATCGTGGACGGTGGAGTCACCAAGTCCATGAGTGGGCTGGCTCTCTTCGAGTTAGCCCGGGGGCAGATCTACGATGCGTGCGGCCAGGACCTGGCGGATATGAACGAGCGGACTCGCTTCACCTACGCCAACAGTACGACGGGCATGAGCGTCGGGAGAGGAGGGATCCCTCGCCCGTTGGGACTGCGAGACCAAGGAGGCAAGCTCTGGTTCTCATTCGTGGCCTCGGAGGGCCCGATGTTGCTGGGCCCCGACTACCTGCAGGAGGCAGAGGCGAACGTGGCGCACGACGGCTACCTGGAGTTTCTGGACGGTCACCGTGAGAGGCTCGAGCCCCTGCGCTCCGGCCACTGGGGCCTGCCTCTCCTCTAGGGGCAGCGACTGCGCCAGGAGAGCGCGGAGCCGGGCGACAGTGCCAACATCCCCGAGGGAGAAGAAAGTCCGCCATCAGCCTCTGCCATCGCCCTGGCTGCTACGGCCACCTCGACGGGCGACCCATCATACTCATCACCACCATCATCTCCATCACCGACCTCAGGAGCGAGTACGTCACGTCCGATGCCGACCAAAGCGAGCATCCTCCCGAGCACACCGACAGGAGCGAGCACATCCCGACCGATGGCGACTAAAGCGAGCACCCGTTCGAGCACATCGTCACAGACCTTGATAGCGACCTCGACACGAGCGAGCATTATACCGAGTCAAACGGCAGTGCGATCGAGGACCCTACCGAGTCAGACGACCATGCGATCAAAGTTTCAGGGCACGATGTTATCTCGAAGCCTGGGCCCCTCCTCGTGTCCGTCGCCATGTGGACTCGAGTACGAGAAGAGTTTTCAGAGTATTCCATATCCACATGCCGAAGGGCAGAGCCAACAGCGAGGAGAGCGACTCGGAATGGGAGAAGCTGGGCGAGCCCCCGCACGCAGAGGAGGCGCCTTCCTCCTCAGCCGGACCTGTCTGCTCACAGCCACCTGTCTCGCTGCGCCCTGGATCCACCAGGACCACCATGAGCACGGAGTCGCAGCCAACGGTGGAGGCGGGCCCTGCATCGGAGGAGTACGTCCTATCGCCCGAGGAGCTGTACTACGACGTGCTGGAGCAGGCCAGCGACTCCCTGGCGAACGCGGACCCCCAGGCGAACCCCGAGCAGGTAGCCCACGTCTGCAAGGAGATGGCCCGGTCGGCAGTGCACGAGGAGGCGGCGCTCCGGTCGCGGCTCGGCAGCCTCGCGGGCCGGTGGGCAAAGCTTGCCGAGCAGGAGTGCATGCGCCCCCGCATCGACCGAGCGGCCGAGTACTTGAAGAACGTGGTCCCCCAGGAGACACGCCCGGCGCTGCAGGTGCGGAACGGTCGCCGCCGCTGCGGCTAGGGGGCCGGCGAGCCCTCGAAGGGGGGCCCGAAGGGGAAAACTCCGTACATGAGGGAGCCCGGTCACCACTGTCATCGCACGGTGGCCTTCGTTCAGGACATGTAGAAGTGGAGTTCCCGTGGCCGCATCCTCGACTACAGCCAGGACGGCCCCCGAAGTCCGTGGACGGACCATCGAGGGGGCTGGGAAGCACCTGGGCCGGTGGGGCTGGCGAGGGATCCGCCCCTATTGGTAAAGGCTCAGAGCGTCGCCGAGAAGCGTGTGGTGGTCGCCCAGCTGCAGGGCTACCAGGCGGAGCTGAAGGACAACATGCTGGCGGTAATGAGGTCCTCGCAGTTGGATCTTCTCGAGATCGGATGCCCGGAGGACTCGTCCCTGGGTCAGGCCATGGAGAAAGAGGGCGGCACCGTCTACCGCATGGGCCTTTGGAAGAAGCACGACTTCCAGCAGGCTAGCAGGCGCGGTGACCAGGGCGCTCATCGATGCCAGGAGGCCCCGGCGGGTCCACATCTCTCCGCCAGGCACGCCCTTCTCCATCCTTCAGGCCCTGAACCAGAAGAGTGACCAGCAGATCGCGAGCTCGAAGAAGAAGATAGCCTGGGGTATCAAAGTCATGGGCAGCATGGTCGAGGTCGGCCTGCAGGCGCTGCGTCTAGGGAGCCAAGTCTCGAGCAGCCCGCGAACGCCACCAGCTGGAGGACCGTTCATTCACCGATGAACCTTCGGAAGCAGCTGTACGAGGTCGCCACAGCAGGATGCGCCTGGGGCATGCGGGGCAGCAGCGAGACGGGCCAGGCCGCGTACAAGAACTGGAGGTTCCTGGTGTCCAACCAGCGGGCAGCAGAGGTCCTGGAACGGAAGGGCCCTCGAGATCACGTGCACAGGCAGCTGGAAGGGCCCAAGCGGGTCGCTGACCCCGCCAAGTGCCCGGAGGCACTGTGCCGAGCTGTCAGCCGTCAGGTGCTGGCTCATGCCCTGGTGTCCGTGATCACCGCTGGCGCGAACGAGATCGAGGGCGCGCTGAAGGAGCTGACTGAGGGACACCTCGAACAAGCCGAGGCCATGACCATCGAGAATGATACCGAGACGGATGGCCCGACGGACGAGTTGAGGAAGTCGGTGCGTCTCAAGCTCCATCGGCCACACTCGAGTGTGGGATGTCGTGGGGCCCGAGCGTTCAAGGAGTTCCCCCGCCGACGCCAGGCTCCCAGCTGGGTATAAAGGGAAGCCGGAGAGTTGAAGTGCGCCGCCTGCGAACGGTTCCAGAAGCAGCCCATGCATCCTACGGCGTCGGGGGGGGGGCTGGCGGACCCACTGGACGTACTCGCGATGGACGGGTTCGACTGGGTCCATCCTTTGTCGGGGGGCTGGGCGCGAGGCACTGTCCTAGTGGACGAGGGTAGCGCGAAGGCGGTGGCCCGCGTGCACGCCGCGCAACGTGATGGAGGCGGATGTGGCCACACGCCGACGAGGCCTGGGACACCTTCGTGGTTTTCTGGGCACAGTACTTCGGACGCCCGCTACAGATCCGCACCGACCCAGCAGGAGAGCACGAGGCCCACGTGAACAAGGAGAGGGCCGCACAGCGCGACATCCGATGGGAATCAGAGCCAGGAGGAGCCCACTGGTGGACGGGCAAGGTGGAGTCCATCATCATGCTGGTGAAGAACGGCCACGAAGCTGGCCCACCTGGACCCGACGCGCAGCATCGACGAGCTCTTCGCGTGGGCGGCGACCGCCAACAACGAGATGCCGAACAGCTCCGGCTTCAGCCCAGACCAGATCGTCTTCGGACGCCGCCTGAGGCCCCTGGACAGCGAGCTGATTGGATCGGTGGTCCCTTTGCAGAAGGAGGCTCGCTCAGGGTCTGCCGCGGAGGAGGCCATGCGACGACGCCTCCTTGCCCGCTCGGCTTATGCCGAGAGTCTGGTAGATCGCCAAGCCCGATTGACCGCGGTGAAGCGCGCCCGGGGGCAGCAGGAGTACACCCTGGGCGACCAGGTACACATCTGGCGCCAGGCTGGCAAGACCGACAAGGACAGGAACAAGACGTCCAAGGGGGGCTGCGTCGGGCCAGGTACGGCGCTCGCACGCCTGCGGCAGCCTATGGAGGAAGGGCGCCTTCGGAAGGTGGTGATCCTGGTTTTTCGGGGACAGGTCCTTCGAGCTGCTCCACAGCAGCTGCGCCTGGTGTCTGACGCTGAACGGACCGCGATCGAGATGAGCACGGAGACTCGGGACCTCTTGCACCAGCGCACGGACCAGGCCTTTAAGAGGCTCTCCCGCGCGGTGGACATCACGGGGGAAAGCGAGCCCGACGGCGACCCGCTAGAGGACCCAGCCAACGCCGACGAGCCCTCCACGGAGATGGACATGAACATGGAGCCGGGTACACCGCTGGACGAGTGACAGAGACACCTCCGCCATATACCCCAAGGAGGTCGGAGAAGGAGCAGGAGCAGCTGATGAGTGAGCCCTCTCCCGAGCGTGGAGCAGAAGCACCTGAAGGAGACGGAGCGCCACCGCCGCCGTCGAGGGCTTACGACCCGAGAGACGACCTGCCCTTCAGCATCTGGCAGCGGCCCAGCGAGATGAGAGGAGGCCCACGAGATCCCCCCCGGGTACCTGACGCTGAACGGCCTGCCCCTCGAGGAGAAGTTCGGCCACGAGAGGAAGTCGAGAGCGAGGAGGGCCCGGCGCCGAAGAAGAGTCGCGAGGAGTTCGACATGGGAGACGTCCTGGCCCCCATCTCCGACGAGCCCCCAGCCTGCGAGGCGCGCGTCGACCTCCCCGCCAAGAAGACGGACAAGAAGGCCTGGAGCAGGTTCACGCTGGGCCCCACGGCGTACGCTGCCGCCGCTGTGAAGAAGAGTAGCCCGAAGGTGGTCCTCCGGAAGCTGGGCCGCGCCATGAGGGGGCAGTTCCGGGCAGCCAAGAATGCCGAGGTTAGCAGCTGGCTGGCAAACCAGGTCACGACGGCGGCCAAGAGAGCGGATGCCGGACCAAGAGGACCAGTGAGGATGCGCTGGCACCCGACGGTGAAGTCGGACGGGAAGGCCAATGCCCGCATCGTGCTCCTGGGCTTCGAGGACCCGCGGCTGGGTCACATGAAGACGGCGAGCCCGACCGCATCCGTCAGAGCCAGGAACCTCGCCTATCAGGTTTGCGCAGACGAGGGCCTGCGCCTGCACGAGGGCGACGTGAGGGCGGCCTTCCTGTAGTCCCAGAGTTCCGACGCAGGCGTCTTCGTGGAGCCCGTCCGCGAGCTGCGCGAGGCCATGGACTTGCAGGATGACGAGGTCGCGCTGATGCTCAAGAAGGCCCGCGGTCTGTGCTGCGCCCCGAACGAGTGGTTCGACGAGGTCGCCAAGCGCATGGCAGAGTCTGACTGGGTCGCCATGAAACGGGAGCCGTGCGTGTGGACCCTGTGCGACAAGGGCCGTCTGGTTGCCATCGCGTTCGTGCACGTGGGCGACTTCGCGCTGGGCTTCAGGGGTAACAGCGACATGGCGAAGAAGATGCACAAGGAGCTGCGCAACTACTGGCAGTGGGGCTCCTGGGAGACAGGGTGCTTCAGACAGACGGGCGTGGGCGTGGCGCGACTGTCTGACTACTCCTCCATCTCGCTCTTTTCGCCGCCGCCGCCGCGAAGGTTGAGATGATCGAGGGGTGGAGTGGGCGAGCTGGGCGAGCTGACGACGCCCTGCCAGTTCCTGGGATCACCGCGTGCCGAGCAGCCGCTGGAGGCTTGCAGTGCCTGGCATCGCAGGGCCAGAGCCTTATCGCCGCAGGTGCCAGCGTACTGTCATCATACACCAACACCGCGACATACGGGCTGGTTCCTCGCATCAGCAAGATGATCCGCACGGCCCACGGGGCAGCCCGTGTGCCAGTGCGATTTCGCGCAGTCAAGGGCCCGATGCGGCCGATATCGCCTTCCACGATGCGGCCCGAGCGGTCGGGGAGGACGGGAAGTCACAGGGGGGCTACATTATCGGGATGGGAGATCGAGCGCTGCTAGACGGAAGAGGGCCACGCCATATCTCTTTTGCAGTTCACTTCGAAGAAGCTCCCGCGCGTGACGCGGTCGAACGTGGGATGCGAAGTGCAGTCGGAGAACATGTGCCACGAGGATCTGACCTACATGCGCATGGCCCGGACGGAGCTAATGCGAGGTGGTGTCAACCTGAAGGACATCCGTGGCTCACTTCAGCTGACGCAGGCGACAATGGCCACCAACTGCAAGGCCCTGTGCGACGCCCTGGCTCGCAGCGTGAGCGCAGTTATGCCGAGGCGACGGACTGACTAAGGGATCGTGTGCAGCTCGATCCGTGTTGCCGGACTTCATGACTCGTTGCTACTGGCGTCTGATCCAGGACCCGACCTTCACTTCCGCCAAGCAGCGGCGTAAATAGGGGCGCGAGGACATCCTGCGCGACGGAGTCGAGCGAGGGCCCCTCTTCCCATCGGTGAGCCCCGAAGCGTTATATATGCAGCCATTTTGGAGCACGCTGCGGTCGTAGCTATGGGACTGTGTGAACACAGTGCGTCGCCGTGGCCGGTGGGCAGGAGAGTGCAGACATCGCGTCTGCACTTGCAAAAAGGGCCTCAAGAGGTCCGCATTGTTCTTTGCCCTGCGGAACACGTGCATGTTCAACACATTCACCAGTTTCGTCTTCACAGCGTCCAAGACGGCCCCACGATTCCCTTAAGATCGCCCCCGGACGGCCACGCATTGGCCCCCAATGAGGCGTCAAAGCTGCCGAAGAGAGACTGGGGACCAGCGTGGGTGACTACTTCAGTGGAGCTGTCTGTAATCGAATCGCACCACCCAGTGACTGTTAGTGGTGATGGAGAGGACGCAGGAGGAGAAGCAGGTTCTTCAGAACCATTCAGGTATTTCGAAGTTTCTGCGCGCGGTTTGCATCGGAAATGGGGGGGGGGGGGGCGCAGGGTGCGGGGCAGAAAGGGGCGCCAGGGTTCAGCGAGGGCCTCCAGACGCCCTGCATATACGCTGGCGGGGGCCCTGGCCGGGGCGCCCTTCCAGATTTCCCCCGCGACGTGTTTGGCCCTTTCCCTTGCCTTCCGGGGCCGGCAAAAAGCGACCAGAGCCGAAGGTGCCTGATACAATTGTTTCAAAACATGTCAGGCGGCCCCGCAGACGCCGAAAGCTCCGAGATGGGCCCCGGGAGGGCCTCAGGAGGCCAAAATTGTTTCAACATTCCGGGTGGCGGTGCATTTTTGGCGCACTCGCGTTTTGGGTGTCAGCAGGTTCGCAAGCGGCCCAAGAGGTCCTAAATATCCCCCAAGCCAGCCCGAAAAAGCTTCAGAGAGCCCCGGGGCGGCCCAATGGGGCCCCAAGACGGTCCAAGAGGCGCCCATGACGGCCCAATTGGGCCCCAAGAGCTCCAGGGGTCCAAGTGGGGGAACTCCAACTGACATTTCGAGCCTTCCGCCGCGAGCGGGCCCCCGAGGCCGCAGCAGGCGCCCGCGAGGCCCCCAAAGGCCGCGAACGGTATCCCAAGAGGCCCCCACATGGCCCGCATGAGGCCACAAGAAGATTCAACACTCGCTTCACGTGGCGCCCGAGAAGCACGCCACATGTCAAGAGACCCCGAAGTATCGGTGCCCAAGGATTCTCTGGCCCAGAACTCAGGTGCAGTGGCGGTATGGGCCGAAGGCCATAGATAGACAAGTAATTGGTGCATTGTGTGCCGCGGGGCAATGCGGCAAGATGGCCGCTGCGGAGCACGCGTGCACGGGCGTGCTAAATCCATCCATTTTGGGTAGGCGGGCTTATGTGAATAGACGCTCTGTCCTGTGCTCTGTCTCCAGGAGACGCGCTGCAGGGGGTCACCGCTATTCGATTTCGAAGGTTGTTATGTTCTTCTATTTGGGAAAGAGGAGGATGAGCGAGAATGTGCGGGGGTGGGTTTATTGCACCCCCTTGGGCAAAGCACGCTGTCCAAGGCTACATCAAGAAAGATATTCGCATGGCGAGCCTGCGAATGAGAGTTCCTGGGGCGAGTCCGACATCGGCAACGGCATACGCCTACACAAACGCAAATTATCCCAGTGCGACCCTACCTACGAGTTGGAGCCCTTAGGAAAGCATCATT